CGTGCTGATTATTCATCATTGAATTTATCACTAACAAGTCACAGACACCTACTGTAGAAGAATCCTAAGCCCAACAACAACAACATAGTATACATTTATACTATTAAGAAATATAACTAAAAGCCTTTCTATTTGACAAGTTGCAAAATGTTATGTATATATAATACCTATATTTTTAAATCCTGATAATCTCCTTAAATATATTAGCATCACATAACCTGGAGGAAAATTACATCAGATCCTTGGTACACACACACACAAATAATACCATCTTTGTCCCTGGTGTACCTATTATCAAACCCACTCTACCAGCCCATATTTCATTTGATTCACCTAACCTGTTAAACTGTTATGTTTTATGACCATTTATATATTTATTATTTTGCCCATTTTTGTCTTGGAAAAATGAATTATCCTTGAAGATTTGATACTCTGGCTGCTCCAAAAGTTTATCAGCTGCTTGGATATCCGATTTGATGGCTGTAATCAGTTCTTCTGAAAAACAGTAATGAAATCTTTTCACAAACATTTGAGGATTAAAGACTAGATATTTATGAAATTATATGGCAGTTTAACAAGTTTTATTAAATGTTTTGTAATTACAAGTTATAAAATTATTATTTTTTTGTAACAATTGTTTAGGCTACTTGATATTCTGTTTTTGACGCATTCTCATAATTACATATGAAACTCTCTAATGTTCCTGTAAATTTAGTCTCCCAAAACACTTCGAACTGAATCAATATAGAATGTTTCTTTACAAAGTCCAAAACTGGTTTACATTAATAATAAAAGTAGCATCTCAGTAGTTTTAAAGCTTTTCACTACTAAATTCATTGACTAGTGTTTATTAATTCCTTCTGTGAGACTAAATGCAATATTTAACAATAGCTTTAAAATTTACACATGGGAGTAAGAAGAAATATTGCATTGTCATTGTATTTCACTAGGATTATATTAACATCTTTTTAAAATTTTATATGACTACTGTCAACATTTGATAAATGAAATTGCATTTACAGTGCTTGCACTGAATCTTAAACCTCTTTTTCTTCCTTTCTTTTGTTTTTAAATATAGACATTTCATATAAAAGTTACATTCAAAACATCCTTACACTACATTTTCATTACTGAAACAGAGTTTTATTTACCTAGAGATGAAAAGTTTTTCTCAGGCCTCAAGTATGCAAGGATTGCTACTTTTAACATGGAACCATAAAAATCTTTTTTGAATTCATGAAGAATATGGGTTTCCTAGAAAGATAGAATATTACAAAAAAATAACAATATGGGTTACTCACAACAAAGCATACATATTTCACATCACATTTATTGTTCATCAAAAATAAGTCAGAAATATAGCTACAGACACTTGCTCAGCAATACTCTGCTAGCAAAACCTATGCTTTTTTGATTGCATGATTTGCTCCAACACCAATATAAGTAACAAAAACAAATATTATGAATTAAAAAAATCTAGTTACATGTGCATGATTAGTTTCTCCATATCATGATAATGGTATTCTAATAACAAAATGTAAAAAAAATAACAATTAGTTCCCAAGAACACTTGTTATAAAGAGAGATTTTCTAAACCTCAAAAATGCAATTTATAATGGTAAATGTATTATGAACAGTACATGTAATACATCCACAAGAAAGGGGAAGAGACGGTGCAGTACCAGACAATGTCCACAACACACTGAAGATGTCCAATAATGGCACTTGAAAGAATCTAGCCAAAAGTTACCAGTTTCAGGGCGTCCCATCAACAGAAGTTCAAGGCCAAAGTGGTGTCTTGCAATGAAGTCAAGCAAGCACTCACTCACAAAATTGGAGAGAAGGTAAGGTGTATAGGCAGAACTTTCCCTGGTAGTTCCCCTTTCCATGCACTAGAATCACCATCAAGAGGAATGTCATACTAAAAGTACATTTAAGACCAAAAGAATTTTGGGTGTAGAAAAATTACTATTAATAAGATGAATTCTGAGTCTCTTTAATCCAAACATAAACTGAGGCTGCACAAATGCATCAACTCTTCTTCAAAAGTGTAAAAAGAGGAAGTATTAAGTAATAATGACAAACTAAAAAAAACAATTTTATAACTTCAGGATTAAAATTAATTTCAAACAGGTATTTACCTCTAAAATGCTGAAAACTTTTCCTTGTAGAGTTGCTTTCATGCTGTCAACAACCATGTGACTCAAAGTTCTGAATGCAATGCAGAATATGGATCAACTTATTCATAATTCTTCACTTTCCTGCAACTTATTGTGCATGCATCAGAAAATCTTAAAAAAACTTTGCTTCTTCTTCATAATTTAGATTTTAAGTTGCAGTTCTCATGAAAAATGTGTCATGTGGTTGTATTGTGGGACGGTGAATGGGAATATATTTCAGAGGTAAGAATCTGTTTGAAATTCATTTTAATCTTAAAAATATAAAATTCAAATATATACAGTTAGGTACATCATAATAAAAGGAAGAACCAGGCAACATGAATACAAAATAACTTACTATTGACTTCTTTGTATTCTTGTAGTATGGATTCCAACCTATACTCATCACCATTTTGTAAACTGGTCCACTGTCAACTTTGGCCCATCCACAGTAAATTCCACAATCTAGTTCCTTAGGCAAGTGCTCCACTACATCCTCTGAGAAATTTGCTGGAAAAAGAAATCAAATAATTTGTTATATCTATCTAGAGATTATCTTTATAATACATTTTCTAAGCAAACTTAACATTTCTTATCCATTAAATAACCTCCATCTCTCCTCTAATATAACTGTAAAATGGAAATACTAAAATGTTTCTTGCAAGATATGAACATTTTCTACATACATACTTCTCCAGATTTAATACTATTTGGCATTTTCATTCAGCCCAGTTCAACTCTAGTAAATTGTCTCAACATTAATCAAATTAAGATGTAAAATAATGTAATGTATTACGTGATATATATATATATATATATATATATATA